TCACAATGTTCCTAGTGTATCAGGACAAATCGTATTTTTCCGACTATAACGCCATCTATCAATAATTCGAAAATATATCTCAAATAAAAGTTACTTATTTTTATATAAGAAATCCCAACCTGTTATAAAAATGGGGGTTCTTATTTAAGATTTCAAAGTTGCCCCTGCCCCACCGTGTCGTGCTTGGTGCCAATATTGAAAACATGTTAATCAGTTTTTCGATCCAATGTAATTTCCAACGAACGAATTTCGCGGAATATTCGATGTCCCACTTCTTTTGGCACACCTGGTATACATTTTATATCATCCATTTATAAAAAGGAACACAAGCGGGTAAAAGTTAGCGACTTATTTTCATCGGTATGATCCAATGCGATTTGTGCATGTGCAATATTCAAAAATAGATCGTGAAGGACAAGGCCGGGTAGATAATAAACCAAAGTTTATGGATTTCATACAAAATATTTTATACAATATAACAATTATATAATCAACACTTCAATACAAATAAGAGTTCAGAGTTTATAACTTCTAATAGTTCAGTTTACCTACCTTTTCTATCTAAATTTGAATAAAGTTGACGGGCTATATAGAGCTATAGAAATAGAATATAAGGAAGAGAAAGGAATCCCAGAGATATTGATTAACGTAGTAAAAGAATACAGTATTCTTATATCTAAGAATAACATAGTTTTAAGCGTTACAGCTGTTGCAGGTGTTCTTAGAAAAAGCGATAAAAAAGAATATCGAATAACAAATCAACAAATTGAATGAAATTTGTTGGTTTTAAAAGTGGGTCGCTCACGTATGACATTGTGTGAGATAAATACTAGAAAATAATTCGCGGGTGCATGGGAAAAAGGTGTTAAGTCACTTTTTACTGAAAACTGGGTTATGTCAGAAATCGAATTTCAAACATCTCCTTTACGCATGGGAACAACGAAATAAGTCATTATCCATGTAGAAATCGCCGAAATTAAAAGTGTCTAACGATTTAAGTCACATTTTTTAGTGCAAAGTGCACTATGTCAGACATAATACCGACGCATTTACTTTTCAACAGTGCAAAGGGTATTATGTCAGACATATACCTATTTATCAGAAAAATTTTATTAAATCTGCTGTGCAAAAGGTAATATGTCATACTTAAATCCTTTTACACAAAAAATCTGAACAACCTTCGCGACATAAATCATGTTTCGCACCTTCGCGAAAAGTAAGGTTATGTTTATGTGTTAAACGTTTTGTCAACGTACATTGTCAATCATTGTTTAATTATAATTAAAGCACCATGAGTAATTCTAGAACAAATAGAATCATGTCTTTATGTGAAAGCAAAGTGTCTTCTACTTGCTCAAATGAAGGTAAGCCTTTTATTTATTTTTTCGTAGTGATATTCTAATTTTTATTCGTTTACGGGGATACAAAAGTTTTCATATTGTTGATTGAAGTTTTATAATTATGTATCTATAAACGAAGTAAATTACTATTGTTCTAAAAACCTGCCTTTATTTACAGAGCATGAGGAATCTGTTACTCATTCGCCGAAGATAGTTGTTGTTCATCAATGTGTGGTTATGGGTCCTCCTTTTTGCGATAGTCTGGGAGAAAACAGTGTACAAGGAGATGCAGAATTGGCTTTAGGCAAAGGTAAGAAAATTAATTTAGATTGTTGGAGTAGCTTTAAGTGGGATTTTTTAAAATGAATTTCCACTTTTTGGTAATTATTTAAATATCAAATAATTATTGCAAAGTAAATGATACTTATCGATTCATAAATATAGTTTTTTAAGCATAATCTGGTTGTGGTGCAATTTGCAATGAGAGATTTTTTAGCTAACCTAGATATCAACGATGTAGTAATGGTTAATAAAAAAACCTGCATCTCATAATATATGTAGAATTAAAAAAAATATTGATTCAAACTATTTGTGGTCCTTAGAAATTCTTAAACAAATCAACATGGTTTTCCTATAGAGAACAGTACTGCGAGAAAGGGATAAAGACAGTTCATATTTTAACATCCCTTTGAATATATTATAACTATTAATATATTTGTATTATAACTATTAATATATGTTTGTATATTTGTTTCAGATTCCAGCGAGAATCTATCCGTGCCTGATAAAACTCTAAATCTAGTTGACTTTGATGACTTTGGAGGGTCTGATGATTCCATTGCAGATCCAGATTTTGTGTCTAATTTGGAATCAGAATCTGACAGTACCCCGAAGAAGAAAAAGAGAAATCTTAAGAAAACATCTACTATAGAAAATGAAAAAACTGAAATAAAAGACTTATTAGGTTCAAATAGATCTAGAGCAATACGAAATAAGAAGCGTATATTAAAAGGAGAAACAAGAACTGTTCGAAAAGAGAGGCAACTTAAACGTAATTTAGGACATCAATACACAACTGCCAATGGTAAAAATATAGCTCATCGTTATATGAAGCCTCTAAAAAAATGTAGAAAGCTTTGTCAAGAAAACATACTCGAAGAAGACAGAAAACAACTTTTTGAAGAATACTGGAACATTGGCAATTATAACAGAAGAGTGTCCTATATAGCTGGGTTGCTGGAAATCAAGAGTAAAGCAGTTTCAAGACTTAGAACTACTATAAAAACCAAGCGGCGCAACAGGCAAAATACTGTTTTGTATCATTTATTAGTAAATGGTAAAAACATATCAACATGTAAAGCTTGTTTTATGGCTACTTTTAATGAGACAGTTCGATTTATTGAAAGAGTTGTTAAAAAAAAATTGGAAGCAAAGTCAGGAGTAGTACCATTAGATCGTCGAGGAGAAAATGCACCTGCCAATAAACGAACCCAAACAGATATTGAGAATGTTCGTGCTCACATTCTTTCTATTCCGGCTTATGAAAGCCATTATACAAGAAGAGACTCCAAACAAAGATATCTACCCCCTCACATAACTTTATGCGATCTTTATGCCGAATACATACTAAAATATCCTGTGCACCCCGTCTCGCGGTTTATATACGAACGCGAGTTTAACTCTTTACCTATAAAAATTAAACAGCCCAAAAAAGATACTTGTCAAAATTGTGACCAACTAAAGATGCAACTTACGTTAGACGGAAAAAATACAGTGTTGAAAGAAAAATTAACTCAACATCACCATGACGCTGATTTGGCATATGAAGCCAAATCCATCGATAAGGAAGTTTCAAAAAATGATCCTGCTTTGAAAACAATCACCTTTGATATGCAACAATGCTTACCGACTCCTTCTATCCAAAGTTCTCTGACGTTCTACAAACGGCAATTGTGGACGTACAACTTGACGGTTCACGACTGCGATGAAGGTCAAGCATTTTGCTATATGTGGCATGAGGCAGTAGCAAAAAGAGGTGGTGATGATATCAGTTCATGCCTCTACTATTACATCATAAACGATTTACCTAAGTCTGTAAAACATTTAACAATGTACTCGGATACTTGTGCCGGTCAAAATAAAAATAGTTATGTGGCTGCAATGTGCATGAAAGCTTTACAAGACTCGGAAAATCTACTTACAATAGACCATAAGTTCCTTGTCCCAGGGCACACACACATGGAATGCGATGCCGACCATAGCATCATTGAAAAAAAGAAAAAGAGATATGGTATCCCAATAGAACACCCTCACGACTGGGTTCAGCTGGTAAGACAATGTGGAAAGAAAAAACCCTTTATTGTAAAGGAAATGCGTCAGAGTGATTTTCTTGCCTTTTCTCTGATGTTTAAAGGGCCACTTGTGAACAGAAAACTTACAGGGGGGCACAATTGGCGTCAAGTTCGTTGGTTACATTTTGAAAAATCACAGATGGGAAAACTTTTCTATAAAACATCACTTAGAACTATGGAAGAGTTTCAAAATATTGACTTTAAACGAAAATCTGGAAAAACAACTTTATTATTGACGGCCAGACAAAGTTATAGTGGACCAGTCCCTATATCCAGGGAAAAGAAGAGCGACCTTGTAGATCTCCTGCCGTATATTAGCGACACTTTCTCGGATTTTTATAGGACTTTAAAAACTACCGATGATAAACAGGCTGATATTTTCCCCGACATAAGCGCCGATGAATCGGATGAATAAATTTTTTTCATTTGTTTTTATTGTCAGTATTTTTTAGTTTAAATTTTTTATTAATAGGTATACTGATTTTTTGTAAAAATCACCTGAACAATAAATAAAAAATATAATATTCCTGGTCTTTTTTTTGTGTAAAATGATTTATGTCACATACTAATTATTTTGGAATGTTATAAGTCAAAGAAAATGTAAATATCATTTTTATGAAAAACAGTAGAAAATGTACTATTATCCTTTTTTAAAGGGTCCTATACATTCTTTATGATTACATTGTTTAATTTTTGTTAGGTTTAAAACCTTAGCCCTAGCCCATAAAAATAATTCAAACGCCAATTACTCAATTCTATTATTTTTGACTTACAACCTTTTTCCCATGCACCCGCGAATTTAAAAGGAAGCAAATAATTATGATATTTACAGATTTTGAGAGAGAATGTGTGACAGTATAAAGTATACAAAGAAACAGATGATTCTACATCAACGAAAAATGTTAATAACATTAACAATAAAGCAATTATATTTAAATACGACAAAAAAATAATTGTTATTCAGAAATGGCCTGAGGGTCAGCAACAACCCTTATTGGGAATCTTACGTTATCATACAGGGTATCTGTTAAATACTTTAACATCACAACATCTTTTCAACAATATACCCAGATATTTAGTGGCTTGATTCGTGTATGCCTGATAATAATACACTGACGATGGACTTTTTAGTCCGAAAACGTTATGTGATGTAGCCCGAAAGGTCTTTTTAATTATATACCTTTTATAAAGGATTTTTTAAATAAAACGTAAAAAAATAATTACAGAAAGGAACTTAAATGAACAAGATTGCAACATCCAACATTTATTGAGGCAAATGACTAACATCTACGAGTTAGCATATACTTACTCTTCTTCAATTATCCAGTCTGGATCTCTCATTAAAGCACCGCAAACGCACATATTGGCAAAAAAGCCAGCAGTAATCAACAGAGTTCCTCTCCAGCCGTACTCAAAGAGAAGCCAGGTAGCCAGAGGGGAATAAACTGCCGTACCAAATCCAGTTCCGCTGGCAGCCAGTCCCAAAGCTATCGTTCTTTTCTTCTCGAACCAAAAGGCTATCGAAACTACCGCTGTTACAAAACATAAAGTAAGTCCTAAGCCTCCGATGACTCCGAATGTTAAATACATTACCCCGATGGTGCGTGCGTACGAACTGAGAGCAAGTCCAATAGTGCAGATGATTCCTCCAATAATTGTCATTGACATGCATCCGTATTTGTCAACGAGGGCGCTGCCAATTGGACCTAATTAAACACAAAACAAAAAAGATTATTCTTTGTGTCATAAAACTTACATTAACAAATTTTCGAATTCAGAACTTAGCACTAACAGTTTTTATGAAATTTATGGGACATAAACATTAAAAATGGCGGAACCTCAAATATTCTATCTACAGAGTGACCCAAAAGTCTGGAAACGACTAATTATCTCGTAAATTGCTAGTAATAATTTTACAAAATTTGAGGTATACGCATTTTGGGATACGAAGATTTCATATTTGATATTTGCAATGTTGCCAGGTTTACCATTTTTCTTATATTATAAGTAACTTTGGTTTTTTAAATTCATCACCCTGTATATTTAGTCATTATTTGAATCTCCTATTCAATACAATATAATGCAAAGTTTTGTTGAAGATCCACATACATCCTCACGCAGGGTTGCACAAGTACATGATGTAGGTCGTTCTTCAGTCTTACGTTTATTACGTAAGAATAAATTTAAATCATACAAAATTATCTTATTGCAATACTTAAGTGAAGATGACTTCGATCGTAGATTGAAGATTACTGAGGTAATGATGGATAAAATTGAAAATGATTAAAATTTCGTTAACAGAATATGTTTTTCCGATGAAGCAACCTTTACACTGTGTGGAAGTGTAAATCGACACAATTTAAGGTACTGGAGTGACGTAAATCCACACTGGATGCGTGAAAACCATACTCAAAGACCACATACTTACGTATAGTCAGCTAGTCAGTTAATTGGGCCATTTTTTATCGAAGGAAATTTAACGTCAGATAGTTACGAAACGTCCAAAGAATAGATGGAGTGAGAAGGAGAGGCAGACTCAGAGCACGATTTAAGGATCAGGTGGAGGAAGACTTGAGAATGTTGGGAGTACGAAACTGGAAAGCCAAGGCGAAGAATAGGAGAGAATGGAGACTTGTCCTTGAACAGGCCAAGACCCACCATGGGTTGTGGAGCCAATGTTGATGATGATGAGTTACGAAATGTTACTTAGAAATGAAATTGTATCTACACTGAGACACTTGTTTGGGACACAATCTTAATCAGATATGGTTTCAGCAAGATGAAGCTCCAGCTAATTTTGGTGTAAACGTTCGGCGTTATTCAGATGATAAATTTCCCGGGCGATGGATTGGTAGACGAGGTAGAAATTGAATGGCCTTCACGTTCACCTGATTTCAATCCTAAAGATTATTTTTATTGGGGATACTACTTGGAAACATTCATTTTACAAAACTAAACAAGTCTTGCAGAGCTAAGGCAACGAATTATCGATGAATCTCGAATAATTTCTAGACAATCATGGAGAAATGTGGTAGACGCCTTCTACAATCGATTAGGTTACTATCAACTCACAAATGGAGCACATTTTGAACACTTGATAAAGTAACCATTATGTTAAAAAATGTCGTAATTTATCAATTGGTACAGTTATCAAAAGAGGGTAAAGCTACTGGACCAGATGATGTGCCCATCGAATTATTAAAACTCATCGATGTTATTGATGTAACGGTTGAACTCTTTCATCTAATATATCAGACTGCCACAATCTCCAGACAATGGCTGCAATCGACCTTTGTAGCAATTCCCAAAAAGCCAAGTGCAACAACTTGCTCAGATCACAGAACAATAGCTTTAATGAGTCACACACTTAAACCATTTTTGAAAATAATTCACAGCAGAATTGTTAAAACTCTTGAATATGAAATTAGTGACACACAATTTGGCTTTAGAAATGGTATAGTACAAGAGATGCTTTGTTCGGCTTGAATGTGCTGGCTCAGAGATGCATGGATATAAATCAGGACATGTACTTATGTTTTGTAGACTTTGAAAAGGCATTTGATAAGGTTCAACATAAAAAGCTTGTAGATATATTAAAAAGCAAAAATATTGACAGTCGTGATATGAAAATTATATCTAATTTATATTGGAATCAAACTGCCAAATTAAGAGTTGACAGCCAGTACACCGAAAATATCAAAATACAGAGAGGAGTCCGCCAGGGTTGCGTGCTGTCCCCACTACTTTTCAATGTCTACAGTGAAGCGGTATTTCAAGAAGCGCTCTCAGACTCAATAGAAGGTATATCTATCAATAAAGAAGTTTTGAATAACTTACGTTTTGCAGACGATACAGTAATAATGACGGATAACAACAATGATTTACAGAACGTAATGCAACGCCTTAATGAACGCTGTCATGAGTACGGACTGAAGATAAATTTAAAGAAAATTAAATGCATGATCATGACTAAATCTGCACATGCAAATATCCAATTGACCATTGAAGATACTGCAATTAAGAGTGTTAATAACTACAAATACTTAGGAACATGGATAACATCAGATGTAGACCAAACCAAAGAAATTAAGACACGTATTGAAATAGCACGTACTCATCATTAACTAAAAGTTTCTTTGTTTCGGATATAAGGTTAGAACTACGCTGAATGCTTCGATGTTACGTTTCTCTACTCTTCTTTATGGCTTGGAAGCGTGGACACTAAAACAGGTCCATCTGAATAAGTTGGCCGCCTTTGAATTTTGGTGTTACAGAAGAATCCTACGAATATCATGGATTCAAAGAATGTCAAACGTGGAAGTAACTAGAAGGATAGGAAATGAGGCGGAAATAATATTAACTATTAAAAGACGAAAACTTGAGTACTTAGGACATGTGATGAGAGGGCAAAAATACGCATTATTACAACTTATTATGCAGGGCAAAATCCGAGAAAAGCGAAATGTGGGAAGACGAAGAATATCCTGGCTTAAGAACTTAAGGGAATGGTTTGAATGCAGTAGTGCAGAACTTTTTAGAGCGGCAGTCAACAGAGTCCGCATAACTATGATGATTTCCAACCTTCGATGGAAGATGGAACTTAAAGAAGAAGAATGTAGTTGAAAATAGTAATTAAAAAATTTATTGAGACAATTAAGCGTTGCCAGACTTCTGTTTTATGACCCAAAGAATTATAGCGTTCCTCGGTAGATACATAAAATTTAAATATTAATTCCATTCCGGCATAAAATAATGTGAATCAAAACCTGCATTTACTTTCCCCATAAAATTGTATTTTGATTGCGTTACTTTTATTTAATTATAGTAATAAAAATACTGAAAAGACTTAACTACACGCAATAGTATAACACGCGTTAGGAAGCCAACAAACATGACAGAATGAAAGTTTTAACAATGTGGGTGTTGTTTCGTGAAATATGAGCGATGTAAAGATTGGACTTCTGGGAATAATGTACTGGATGAACGCATATAACTTTCAACATTATTCATTTTATGGCTTCATAAGTTAGGTAATGCCCCTAATTTTTGAATAGGATAATCTTCTTATACTTAACTAGATTATGAATTTTTGTAAAAAAAGAATTATACAGTAGACTCTCGTTAATTCGAAACTCGAGGGACTCTTAAAATATTACGAATTATTGAGTGTTTGAAATATCAAATATCAAATACAAATAAATAAGTGAGTAATATGCTTTATTGTCACTGAAAAAATTGTACAAATTTTATGGACAAAGCTTATAACAATAAGACAAGAAAGCAAAGAAAAAGTCAGAATAAGAATCGTTTTTACTTTTAAACAAAAGAAAAACAATAAAAGTCATCCAAACTTAAACTAAAAAATACTACCTAAACCTACAATCTTCGTAAATTGTACCTAACAAAAGTACCCCTCCAAGCTCCATGAGAGGTTGTCGTTCTATAGGGCTTTTCATGTTTCTGCTGTCAATTTTTATGGATAAAGCCAATCTGGAGCTTAGCAGAAGAAGATCAGGAAAGAGGAAATAATAGCAGCTGGGACTCATACCACAGAAAACGGGAGTGGAGGAACTGGTCAAACCCGAAGGTAAAAAGAGACCTCGAGAGGATATCAAACCTACCGCAACAAAGAGGCTGATTGGACTCGAATCATTGGAGGTTCAATTATTAGTTTTTTATTAAGTATCCATGAATTCATCAATAAATCTGTTCAATATAGGCGAGCGGTTTACCCCTATAAGCAGAGCATCAACCTACTAAAATTCTTTTTGCATTTCTAATGCACCAAACCTTTTTTATTCGATTCTATATATTTTTCCAAGATGAAATGTATTTTTTTTAAATTTTTACAAGTGGGCCGGCAATTGTTATTAACAAATAACTTATACAAAAAAGCAATTTCACCGAATTGTTTCGGAATTAATTTTTTTAGGTGTATCTCGTCAAAATAAACACTTTTTCTCTCCTGATAATTTTTCGAAAAATGCTTCCTTTTTAAGTTATTTGCATTTTTTTGTTGAAAAAATGCCTTAATTAGTGATTTTTGGGATTTTTTTTTTCTAAAAAAACTACTAAATGTATTCCAATTTTACAAATAGCTTTATAATCTTTAAACCGTCGAGTATAAGTTGGAATATTTTGACAAGGATAAATGGTTTCTATCTCGCTAAAAACGTGGACCCAATATTTCGAATATGCCTTTCGAGAGTATCCGCTAAGCGTGTAGAACGGTTGAGGTGCTGTAGGTGCTCGAATCTTTTCGACTTTTTTAATAATGTAATATATATATATGAAAAATATCTGATAATTGATTAAATGAAATTTTAATTTTATTTAATACTACGTGGGTAAGTAAATACTGGGTTACTTACTAAATATTCTACATTTCACTACAAATTTCTTAGATAATTCTAAATTAGCGCCAACGATATTTGCTCCGTGAGTGACTATGGTAAGGGTACATTGAAAATACATGTAAGGGTGTGCAAATACATGTTGCGTAATTTTTACCTTTAGATGAAGGACTTACAGTTTTGACTCTATTTTTATCTAAACTGTATGACCCTCAAAATAAGTTTAAAAAATATCATGAATCCATAAATGAATTAAGATATAATATTGCATTAAAAAAAAATGCATCTAATGAAAAATTACCACCTTCGAAACCAGCATTATTACAACATTACTTAAGAGCAAAGTGGCAAATAAATGAATGGATTCAAGCAAAAAACAATATTATTTCATCTCTTGATCCATTAACCCATGGTTGGACAATGGAAAATAATTGTTTCGATTTTAATTATTTTGAAGGCGAAACTAGTTTAGATATTTTACAAAAGTATTTCTGCTCATGTACCGGAAAATGTTCTACGAAAAATTGTAATTGTATTTCCTATAATTTAGAATGCTGCGCAGTATGTACATGTACACCAGAGAATTGTAAAAATGTTAAAGACGACTTTATTGAAGACAATGAAATCAGCTTATTAGATGGAAATCCTGTTGCTGTTGACGAAAATTTTCAAATTATTGACAATGAAAACGATGTATAAATAATATTATATTTTTATTTTATTATATTTTTCAATGAAAATTGATTATATATTGCTTAATGTATTTCACTGTAATAAAACATTCAATAATAAGTCACCACGTATATTAAAAGAAAAATTACATTATTATAGCATTGTAAAAAATTAATTTTAATTGTTTTAATTATAATATGTCTATATAAAAATAATTATAAATATCTTTTTTTTAATAAATTGTACGTAATATTTGTATTAAATTAATTTTTTAAATCTAAACAAATATTTCTACGCGCCGCACGCCTGTATCGCCGCAACCGCTGTACACACTTAGCGGTAGACTGCTCGAAAGGCATATTCGAAATATTTGGGTCCACGTTTTTAGCAAGATAGAAAAAATTATCCTTGTCAAAATATTCTAACTTGTACTCGACGGTTTAAAGATTATAAAGCTATTTGTAGAATTGCAATTCATTTAGTAGTTTTTTAGAAAAAAAATCCCAAAAATCACTAATTAAGGCATTTTTTCAACAAAAAAATGCAAATAACTCGAAAAGGAAGCATTTTCGAAAATTATCAAGAGAGAAAGTGTTTATTTTGATGAGATACACCTAAAAAAATTGATTCCGAAGCAATTAGGTGAAATTGCTTTTGTGTATAAGTTATTTGTTAATAACAATTGCCGGCCCACTTGTAAAAATTAAAAAAAAAATACATTTCATCTTGGAAAAATATATAGAATCAAATAAAAAAGATTTGATGCATTAGAAATGAAAAAAAAAAATTAGTAGGTATATTCTGTTTCTAAGCGTCTTTTAAGGGGTAAACCGCTCGCCTAATAAGTTGATTAGATTTTAAAATCAAATAAATGAATTCAAATTGACTTTCATTTTGATGATAACCTTAAGAACTTTCATGTCCTATTAAGATATACGTGAGATAAAAGAAACGTCTTTCTAATAACTTTAATCTTAAATTAGAGATAGATACAAGGGGATAACCATAATACATACATATAGTGTGACCCATTTACATTTGAAATTATTAGTCGATTTTAACCAATTTTGTTTTAAATGTCACGTAATAAACGATCTATTTCGTGACATAATTTAAATTGTTTATTCAAATTTCCACGGCATACTACGATAATTTGCTTAGTCGAAAATGACGAATTTTTTAAGAGAAAAAATTGAAATTATATGTCTTTTGGTAGACAACGATAGAGGTGCCAGAGAAGTTTGTACTACAGTATTGTGCGAATTAATGGAATGAATCATGGGCTGTTTTAATGAAAAAACAGTTTATTTAGTAAAAAATTATATTTTGACAAAACTATAAAGGTAAACTTACATCATTCAGTAGGAAATATGTCCCCCTTTGGCAGCAATTACTGCTTTTACCCGTTTTGGCATAGATTCTATGAGTTTCTGGCAGTTGTCAGATATCCTTTCATCTCGATACCAAACCTGAATGGCCGCTTCTATCATTTTTGTTTTAGTGGTACAGTCGATTTTTCGCAGTCTAGCTTTGCAAATGGCCCATAAATTTTCAATGGGGTTGAGGTCGGGCGAATTACCGGGCCAATCTAAAACATTAATCTTCTTATTTTTGAAAAATGCCATCATTTCCTTTGATTTGTGACAGGGAGCAGAGTCCTGTTGAAGAATCGCTCCTCCTTGGGGTTGACATTTTTGGAGTTGTTTGTCCAAATACTTTTCCAACATGGATTTGTATTTTTGGCTGTTCATCATGCCTTCAATTGGCACCAAAGATCCAACCCCCATGTATGAAAAACATCCCCAAAACATTTTCTTGACTGGATGTTTTACGGTTTGATCAATATGAGATGGTGTAAGCTTTTCATTGTCAGACTTCCTGACGAATTTCGACCGCTGTCCCTGAACTATAAAGTGGGTTTCATCTGTAAATAGGACTTTTTTCCAGTCGCCTACAGTCCAATTAGAGTATTTTTTGGCCCACAGTAGCCTTTGTTTCTTCATTCGTTCAGTTAGAAGCTGTTTTTTCTGTGGACGAATTGCCCTTCTACCATTCTCCAAAAGTCTTCTACGAACAGTTGAGTCATGAATCACTATAGCTGATGCTGCTAGATCTTGTTGTAGGTCTTGGCTTGATTTTCTTGGGTCCAATTTGCTCTTTCGAAGTAAAAATCTATCATCTGCTGGTGTTGTTTTTCTCTTTCTTCCACATTTTCCTAACCTTTTCACATCCACTGATCCCGTTTCTCGTTTACGCTTCAAAATTTTGCTTACTACTCCCTGACTCACTCCACACGTTCTAGCAATCTCTCTTTGTGACATACTAGTGTGTTCACTCAACGTGACAATCTTTTCACGCTTCCTAGGCGTAATATCCATGTTGGAATAAAACCAAAAACAACACAAAATAGTACAAAAACCCCCAAAACAACACAAGCTTGGTAAGAAATGACCTAAAACACACTCAAACACACCAACACACAGTAAGGTTATGTTTTCAATGCTTGGTCAGCTGTCAACTGTGTAGGTAGTGTTGCCAACTGTGAATATTGAAAAAATGAAAAAAAATTCACAGTGATTCCATTAATTCGCACAATACTGTATATTAAATGACAGACATGCCGATCGTCCTAATATTAGCTGCAATAAGGTAATGAAAATAAATTATGTTTAAGACATTCAATATGTTGCAGTACCAAAACTAATTTTCAAAAATAACCCCTTACAGAAAAAACAAAATGATCAAATCAACTTGAATATTTAAACAATATCAATTTTCTAAAAAACTGTTGTTTAATTATGATGTCATTTTCACCACAAATGGAGCAATAACATCGTAAAATCGTCGCCATTGGACAGCAGATTGGTAATAAACTGTAAAAGCTAGTATTCTCAATAAAATATTGTTTTGTGTGGCATACTCAATAGCCGAATTATGGTCTCTTCTTTTGGAATGCTATTCATGAGCTTCCATTCAATGAACGATAAAATTAGATGACTGTTCTATTCATTACGTCAGAACTGTGAAATACTGGCTGAATGAAAATTTTCCAAATCGATGAATATGCCGTGGTAGTCTTTTAATAGATTGGCTACTCAGATTTTCATATCTTACAATTTTAGATTATTACCTCCGAGGAGTTATTAAACAAAATTTACCAATCTAAATGGGTCACACTGTATATGATACGATCGTTTGTTGCTTAATGCTTCATACATTTGGCGGGAATTGAAACAATTAAATTAAAAAACGGTTCTATTTCTCGTTATCTTAAAGTATATTAAATAATTGATTTAAAAATAATGCTAAGAATAATTATATTTGTAGATTGATTGTAATCAAACACCACGGATAGCTTCTTCTTGACGTAAAAAGTGAATTTATAACCAAAAAACAAGAAATAAAATGCAGGAAAAACGAAAATAAATAGAGGAAAAGATGAGAGGGAGAGGGAGAATATCATTAACTGTATACAGTTCTATTCCATTCGGAGATTTAAAAGTTGAGCAAGAAAAACCAAGCTTCGACAAAACAAAGCAGTCGAACTGCAGTGAGAATATTCATAAAACTAATTTTAACACGATTCTAGAAGTCACTAGAATATAACATAGATACACACCATCTCTTCACTGACTTTAAAGCAGCATATGACAGTGTGAAAAGAACGGCACATGGAGAATCAGGAGAAACGATGAGGTTAATAAACTGAATGAAGGGTATGAAATTGTAAGATTTGTGAAAAGTCAAAGACTGTCATGAATGGGACATCTTACAGTGGAAGCCGGTAGCAAGGCGGAAAAAGGAAAGCCCAGGACGAGATGGTTGGATAAAGTGGGAGACGACTTGAAAACCATGAATATAGAACAATGGAGGAGAAGGGCCCAAGAGAGATCTGAAAGGAAGGACATATCCAGGTAGGCAAAGACCCATCCAGGGTTATGATGCCAAAAGAAGAAGTAATAAATAAATTATTAGTTTCTTGTACAGAATGGTCCCCAAAATACAATTTTCTTATTTGTACTCTTCCTGCAGTAATGAAAACAGTCGGCATATAAAATGTTTATTCTCACACCTAGTAGCTACTTCTCAAATAAATGAGAGATCCTCTTTTAAATAGTGGTAATTTCGATCGAAAACAATCTGGTTTATCGCACGGTATAACGCTTCATTGTGGCGTTGATGCCAAAATGTCAAGGGGAGACCAGAGAGAAATATAATTTTGATCTCTGTCTATGAAGTGGAAACATGTTAGTACCTGTTAGTTATCTCGCTAATTTTGTAACACTAACTATAATTTTTTTCCTTATCTGGATAAAGAAGCTATGAGATAATTTGTAGTTGGCCTCGGTTGGTAAACAACCTATGAGGTAACCGGTTTGACAAATAAACAATTTCGGAAAAGTATTTTGTCTGAGATTCGAAAACAATTAAAATAAAACATTATGTAAGTTCCCAATTGCTAATGTTAACTACTTGAACAAATAGATATTTTACCTGCAATCAATGGCAGTGACATAAAAAGACTTCCTATCCATGAGGTAGCTGATTTGGAAGCACCAAACTCGATTAAAAATTCCTTATACAATAATCCAAACGTAAATCCAACGCCATCTGATAACATGTTAATTACAAAAGAGGCTAACACTACCAGCCATCCCCACCCACCATCGGGAATCTTCTGACCAGTTTTCTCGACGAACAAACTAATCTCTGATGAAAGAATTGATTCTCTTCGTTGATATAGATGATCTATTCGAAGTGTAGAATTGTTAAAATTTTCTGTTTCTGGAGGTGAATCTTTAAGACTTTCGACACTGGGTGCCACTTCTGAAATTTTAACCAAAGGTGCATGCGTTTGCCCATCTTCAACCGAATCTTCAATCATTTTACGTCGAGACCTAATTCACCCACAACTGCTTCAAATCGGTTGTTCTCATCGAGGCCACACTCTGAAAGATTAAAAAAATTAGCATGGTTAAACATAAAATAGGCCAACTATTTTTAAATTCTTACTGATTTATATTATTTTATCTTTTCTGAGATAAGAAAATATCTCCAAGTAAATAATAAAATGTGTTATATTATCATTCATTTTGTGTCTGAAATATTGTTGTTTCCTATTGAAAGTATGATGTTTTCGTTTAAAATGTTACTAAATAATCACACTATTACTTCAAAATGTTAGTTAGTTTTGACGTATGAGGTGCAATGTTCATTCAATTAATGACATACAGTGCCTCTAAAGTCTTCCCATTAACTATATTTTGAATCATAAAAAATCAAATTGATAATTTTTTTGGAAACTAAACTAAGGTAACTGTTCATAGTTTTTATGAGGTTTTAGTGACATAATCATTTAAAACAGCGGGCAGAATTTTAGAGAATTGATAAGGAGATTATACAGTGCTAGCCAAAAGTCTTCGTTCCCCCTCGCATCTTTTATTGTTATAACAGTGAAATTTGGAGGGACAAAATAAACAGACTTAGGCATCTAAACTAGGCATATCATCATCACTCAGCCTTTTGCGTCCACTGCTGGACATAGGCCTAAGTCATTTTTGTCCTTTGTGCTCTATTTTGAGCACTTTTCATCAAATTTCTTGACATTTTCTTGAGATCGTCAGTCCAACGAGTAGGGGATCTTCCTCTACTTTGTCCCGCATAGTTCCATTTCAGTGTGGCAATTCGGGAAATTGCATCGGTAACTCCTGTTCTTCGTCTTAAGTCTTCAATTCTAACTCGGTCACGAAGCGATATACTCAGCATTGACTTTTCCATTTTCCTCTGAGCTATTTGCAGCGTTTTAGAACTTGTAGCTGTTAATGTCAAAGTTTCGGCACCATAAGTCATCACAGGCAACACACATTGGTCAAATGTTTTACGTTTTAAAGAAATTGGTATATCGCTTTTAAAGATGTTTTTGAGTTTTCCATAGGCTGTCCATGCTAGGTATATTCTTCTTCGTAGTTCGCATGTTTCGTTGTCTCTCGTGATCTTTATTTCGTGTCCAAGGTATATGTATTTTTCCACCAGCTATACTTCGTTGTCTCCAATATTGATATTTCCTTTAGGTTTGTCATGAATTTTTTTTTTGGAGATGTTTATTTTAAGACCCACACTGGCACACACTAAATAAAGTTCATGTAGCATTGTACATATCTCCTTGAGGTTGTCCGAAAACAAAACTATGTCGTCTGCGAATTTCAAATTTGTTAATCTTTTACCGTCAATGTTCAAGCCTTTCTCTTCCCAGTTAGGTTTTTTAACAGCAACAACATTCTAGTACTGCGGTAACCAGTTTAGGCAATAAGGTATCACCCTGTCGGACTTCTCTGCCGATTGTGATATGATCCGTGTTTTTTATGTAGTTTCACCGACATAGTTACATTCTTGTATGTATTGTAAATTAACCTTGTATATCGGTAGTCAATGCGGCATGCTTGTAGTGCTTCCAGGATTTTGCAAATTCAACCATGTCAAAGGCTTTATGGAAATCTACAAAGGCCATAACGAGCGGTCTGCAAACTCAAATCTCAGCCAAAGTTGGATTTCATTCCTGTTTTGGCGTTAAAATCACCGCATATAAAAGTAAAATGTCCTTGACAGTCTTTAAGAGCAGCTTCGATATCATCATAGAATAGATCCACTTCTTCTTCATCATGGTCTGTTGTTGGTGCATAAATCTGTATTATTTTCATATTATACCTTGTATTCAATTTAAGAGTAAGACAAATCACTCTTGAGGAAAATTTCTTTAGTGATACTATACTTGTTTGGAGGCGCTTGTGTATAATCAAGCCGGTTCCTCCAAAGGAATTATTGTCGTTACCTACGTGGTAAAAACTATGTCCTGATTTTAGTTTAATTAAGTGTTCGCCACGTCTTCTGACTTCGCTGAGACCGACTATGTCCTACTTTATGTTTTCTAGTTCGGACTCAAGTTCAGTAACGCTTTCATCAGATAGTAGGGAACGTGCATTATATGTTTCTATATAAAGTGTTACCGTTACTCCCTGCTACAGTCTATATTGCAAGGTAAAGTCAAAGATAAGCGAGGACCCGGTAGAAGGAGAATATCATGGCTGCGGAATTTAAGAACATGGTTTAAGAAAACCTCAACGGAGCTGTTTCGAGCCGCAGCGAGCAAGGTTATGATTGCCAATATGATTTCCAACATCCGAAACGGATAGGAACCAGAAGAAGAAGAAGATATAGTGTCGTCTTATTCAGGTAACTTTTTCTTGTCTTTGTCAATTTTTGTCCCCCCCCCCCCCAGAATCCATGGGACAGACAGATAATTTATCAGTGCAAGATTTGGAAATAATTTCCTACTTGCCTGGGGTATTTGCGTGTTTCAACTGACATTTTCAACTAGTGATATACAGAACTCTTATCAAGCCCATCCTCACCTACGCGTCGTACATGGACGATGACAAAGAGCGATGAAGAACGTTTAAGATGCTTTGAACGCAAAATCCTCAGGCATATCTATGGAGGAGTACAGGAGGGCGGATTGTGAAGCAGACGCTATAATTTCGAACTTTACCGCCTGTATGACAAATCTGATATTATTAGGTTCATCAAAATAAACCGGCTGCGGTCGTTAGGTCAAATAGAGAGAATTAATGAGATGGAGCCGCCAAAACATATTTACAGCCAAAGAATAGATGGAGTGAGAAGGAGAGGCAGACCCAGAGCACGATTTAAGGATCAGTTGGAGGAAGACTTGAGAATGTTGGGAGTACGAAACTGGAAAGCCAAGGCGAAGAATAGGAGAGAATGGAGACTTATCCTTGAGCAGGCCAAGACTCACCATGGGTTGTGAAGCCAATGATGATGATGATGAGCCAGAGGTGAAACTATAATTTTAGTATGTAGGTATTTATTTAATTTAATTAATCAAAATCAGCTTGAAGCCAAACAAATTTAGTATGATTGAATACCTTTCAAACTTGCTATAAGGTCACATTTAAAATTACCGCTTACAGTGGCTCTGTAACGTCATCTGTGACTATTAAGAAATCTATTATGATTAGTTAAGAAGATTACATCAGTTTAATATAACATATAACAAGTATAATTGTTCAAAAGATGCGAGGGGGAGGGAACTTTCGGCTAGCACTGTATAATTTATAACGTAATATAATTTCTTTTTTATTTGCCTTATTTTCTTCCTAATAGTATTGTTGGGTATTAGATGGAATTAGAGAAATAGATCATCCAATTAGTGTCACAAATTTCAGTGGAAGTCCCTGGTATGATGTCATAGCTATAATACTTGGTTGTCCTCAATTGTTCTTAAATTACAAGTAGTTATGGAACTCAATTGCTAGTACATACACATTTTTATTAACATATTGATACTAAATAGTTTCGCAGCACAACGTGAATTGTTTGTGACGTTTAATGATTTGTTTGCATCTCTTTTTTTATTTTAAAACTAAATTGGTTTATAATCGTCTGTAAACTATTTTAGTAATATTTTATGTATCGGGGATGGTATGAAAGGGGAAAAAATACTTGGAAATTTTAATAAAAAATATGGAAAGAATGTAAATGATGAAGAAAATGTAGAAACATAATTTCTTCTTCTACTTTATATAATATGGAAGATAGTCACTCCATGTCTTGCACTGTCAATCGATACTTCTACCAATTGGTGATTTGTTTCTTGCTATTTTAACGACTGTTTTGTGTCCGTCATGTTACTGATATGATTGTTCCATTCTTTTTTTTCTGTTTAGTTTCCACTCATTTATACATTGTACATTACAGTTTTTTCTAAACTCGTCACTCCTTATTCGGTCTCTCCGTGTACTTCCTGTAATTCTTCTGAGTATTCTCATTTCTATAGTTTCCAGCACTCTCTGCGTGTTTGGCTGTGTTGGGTCTTGTTTCTGATGCATACGTCATTATTGGTCTTATACCTTGATTTCATCTCGTAGTACATGACATGACTTTTTGCACGAAATCAGCACATTTTTATTTTGTATTAGGTATTTTTTATCTTCAGTTTTGTCTACGAATTAGTTATTTTTAATTTGAATATGTATTATAATTGTTGGGACTGTGTGCTATATTTTATAATTTATCTACAATAAATATCAAAGTGAATATTGCTGTTGCATTAGCTCTGTCTGATACGTTAGTGAATGCAAATAAAGGAACTGGGGCTATTGTTCAAGGTATTTGTGAAGCTCGTTGGATTGAAAGGCATGAAGGTCATCTTCAGTTCCAGGGGGAATCAATCATCAAAATATACAATACTCTTGAAAAAATTTCTACGTGGAAGGACAGTAAAATTTTAGCTGATGCATTTTCATTAATGTAAACTATTAGGAGCCCAGCATTTCTCATTTCAGTTGTTTGTCTTAGTGATGTTTTGGGCGGGCATGTTTTCGAAGCTGAAGTACCTGAGGGTCTTAAAAGTACCCTTGTTTTGGATGCTGCCGGAAGGATTATCGCAGGTACCAGATATTAGATATAATTAGGGTTTAATGATGGTCATTGAGATTTACTTAGTTACTAGTTATTAGTTTGTCAGAGAATAGTGAAAAGTGAACATGGAAATTTAAACGTTAGTAAGTAATCGTGGTAAAATTTTGATCAAAGTGAACAGTTTTTACTTTTTCTCAAGATAAAGTACTAAAATCGGGAGAAACGTATTAGAGGTGCGTAAAACGGTCGTGTAAAGCGAAGATATTCACGAAAGGGCCAGAAAAGTTAGTGATCCGAAGTAATCTAGAACATAATCACGAGTGTGATATCAAGACGCTTAATAGACAGATTGTGCGTAGCAGTAAAAGGAAGGCTAAGGATAATTTGACCGAAAGGCCGTCCAAAATCATACATAGTGCGTTGAAAGAAAATGTAGATTGCTTAAGCCACATGTCTGTTAAAGACGTTAATTTAATACGAAATCAAATATACAGTGAACGGCGAATCGCTCAACCGAAACTGCCCAAAAGTAAAGAAGAAACTATTGCTGCGGTAAATATTATGAATATCAAACCACTTAAAGACGAGAATTTTATATTTGCGGTTGAACTAAGTTCTAACATTATCATCTTCTCGTGTAACACTAACATGCGTTTTCTGTGCGGCAGTGAAACGATTTATATGGACGGTACATTTAGTTACTGTGCTCTGGCAGCCCAAAAATATATTTACTGACGGTAAATATATTTTTGGGCTGCCATTTTTACCTCCCTCAGAAGTCGAAGAATTTTTCATATATGATTTTATGGCTATTCAACCAAAGGATTCAAAGATTGAAAAGTTTTCCGACTACTTATTGGACAACTACATTGGCGACCATGCAACATTTCCGTCGGAGATGTGGGCTGCGATGAGTGAGAGTTTACAACTAACAACTAATGCTTGTGAATCTGACACTATGGGCCAGAGTTAGACGTACAGATATACAATTCCACGAGGAAACTAAGTTCCTGTAGCTGGCTGTATACCATATATCACAAAAAATTGTTTAAATCCTTTATAAAAGGTATATAAAAATGCCCCAAACGGGCTATCACAAACACATTGCAAAACGTTTTCGGATTAAACAATCCATCATCAGTGCAAACGGGTGTACATGCTAGTAGCCACCAAAATATATATGGGTCAAATTTTTGACACCCGTTTGCACTGATGATGGATTGTTTAATCCGAAAACGTTTTGCAATGTGTTTGTGATAGCTCGTTTGGGGCATTTTTATATACCTTTTATAAAGGATTTTAAACAATTTTTTGTACAGATATACGACATAGATGCAAGGTGGAGAACATCAAAAACTGGTTAAGAAATAGAAGAGTAGAATGGAACGATCATACAGCCGAATGACAACAAATAGAGTAGTAAAGACGGCAAGAGACGGCTACCCAATAGGAAGACGATCAGTAAGAAGACCACGAAAACGATGGAATGACAACTTACTGGAGGCACATTGAAAAAGAGAGAGAGGCATGTCAATATAAAAAGGAGAAGAATTTTTATTGGAATCCAATAATTAAATAGAAATTCATACTACATGCTTTGAAACCAGACTACCAAATGCAAAGTATGTGTCATGACTGAAAAATAGGCCCGGAATTACAATGTTGCCTAGGGCCCGAATTAGCCTTAGTTCGCCACTGTAGCATTCTATATTGGAAACATTTTTAAAGTTTAGAATTGAACTTGAATTTTGCTCTAAAATTTAAAGCGAAACGAAAACCCAAGAAACAAAAAGGTAAATCGATAAAAACAATTAGGTACCGATAAGAAACAGTCAAATTAAAATGTGTGTGCCATATACCGGCAGTTATAAAAACAAAAAATCTATATTGTTTCACAACTTAAACTTCTGTGCATTTTAATTATGCACGAAGTAATGAAAATAAAAATATATGTATTTATAACAGAACAAATTTTAGCAAGTACGCCAGTGATCTTTTCATGAATCCTAGAGTTCCTATTAAAGATGCATGTTTTGTTTGTATTACATAAACATGCAAAATAAGTTGTAGACAATTGGTTGCATACTTTATAAATAAACATTATGAAATTACTGTTATAAAAAAAAACTCACATTTTATTACGTCTTGTATTCTTCTTCAATTTATTTATCCAGCACAATAATTAAACACATGTATACCATGCGGGTAACAAATAACGGCTATTTCTTAACAACAACTCAACAACGTTCCGAACTGGAATTCAGCCATTCGTTTACTGTGTTTTTTAAGTTTACTATTTTCGGTTTTCGGCAGAACGAAAACACGAGAATCATTATACGCAAGTACACACCGCAGCGCCGGCGCTTAGTTATCGTATCGCCTCGGAGCAAATCGGTTATGCTAGTAAAATAATTCAATTAGATGTCGATGGCGTTTTCCGAAATTAGAAAAAAGAAAGGCAATAATCGGTTTTATATCATGTACTACCAGTGGCGGCTCGAGATATTTCAGTTTGGGAGCGGAAAACTAACCCAAAAAAACTCGCATGTTTCCTTTAACACATTTACCTCCGTAACTAATTAGTAACAAGTCCAGAAGGCCGCATGTTTTTTTTTTAAATATTATTGTAATGTTTATATATTTTAGCTGGTGGGTATTAGAGTAAGTTCAAATCTTGGTATATGTTTTCAAAAAAAAAAAACAAGGCCTTAGGGGCGGTGAAGGTATAGGACAAGCTAATTGCTAATTGAATGAAGGGGACCTCCTGTGCGGCGTTCATTCAAAAATATACGGTTTTTATCTAAAAATTCAAACAAATAATCTAAACAGAAATTATTTTATCAGAGCACTCAAAATTTTCAGTAAAACATAAAAAGAACATTAAATTAAAACACAAACAAAAATTTAAATCTTAAAATAAATTAACAAAAGAAACTAAAACTAAAGAAAAGTATCCAAAGATATATTTTAGAATGTAATTGACGAAAACATGAAGATAAACACAGTCCAGGTTAATTAGGACATAATGGATAGTAATAAATTGAGTCAACTCTTTTTTTTTTCTTGTCAGCAAACCTGACACCGTCTCCTGTTAACTTTCATTTTCTCCTTCACTTTTGGGACAAAATTCAGGAAGATGTGTTTGTCTTAATTTTTCGTAATGGTTCTGGTTCTGATGATGTAAGTCTAATTAACTTTACAATAATACATAATCGGTAATCATTTTTGACCAGATTTTGATCAGTTGATTCCCTTTCTTGTAAAGATAAAATTATGCTTTTTATACCAAATGAGCGTCTTGCGCTGATGTCATATGTTATTCCTGTGCTAACAGGAATAACATATGACATCATCTGGTCGCAAAGGTCAACCCCTGCCATAAACTTATTATATTTATTTGTCAATACAGGCTTTTCTTTATCTTGGCCACGCCGATTCATCACGGTTTTCTTCTTCTTCCTATGCCGTCCCCATTAACATAGGTTGGCGACCACATTTCTAAAAGTTACTCTCTTTTGCAACGTGGAATAATTCGTCTACAGTCATGTTTGTCTAGTCTCCAATATTTCCCAGCCAGAACTTCCTCTTTCTACCTATTCCCTTTTTGCCATCGACTCTACCCTTCATGATCACCTGCAGAAGACTATTTTATCATATCTCAGTATGTGTCTAAGATATGTAGTCTTGCGTACTTTTATTGTTCTTAACAATTTTTTACCTCGACCCATCGTTTTCAGCACTTCCTCATTGATGATCCTGACAGTCCATGGAATTCTCATCATTCTCCGGTATATCCAAAGTTCAACGGCTTTAAGCTTCTTAACTATTTGCGCTTTTATTTTTCATGGAACAGATGGATTATATATTGTTCCCATAGTCCGTTTATTTTGCTCTCTTCAGTAAGTATTCTTTCATTATTATCTCTTGTTATGAGTGTTCTTTATCTGGTGTTGCCTGTAAGTTCTTCGTTTTTCATTCAGTTTTTTTTTTTTATGTAAGTTTGAGGTGTCTTGTTTGTTGCTGAGTTCTTCCAGTTCCTGGCACGGTTTTCATACGTGCATTAAATTCACTCGAAATAGACACTATTTCACGACGTTCCCTCCATTTATTTATGCAAATTCCTTGTGAATTGTATTGAATCACCAATTTACCTTTTTTTAGTTTTGTCTTTATGACTACTTCGGGATTTCCTTTCCTGTTTGAACATGTTTCCTGTGACACAAGTTATTCTCAGTAACAACTCATCAGAAAGCTTTAGACTATTGTAAAAATTATCTATAAACAGAGAATGGCCATTGTTCAATTTCTCTGTCAAAAGATTTAAAACAACTTTTTCTGTATGTTTTTCCCCGGATAATACAGGATCTGCTGAGCTAGCATAAACCACTATTTTGAGGGCGGTACCACTCGCTTCACATAACATATAAAGTTTAATGCCGGATTTGTGCCTCTTTCCTTTAATATATTGCCGAATTTTAAACGGTCTCTCCATAAAACCATCGATTCGTCGATACAGAGTTCCCTTTTGTGATAATATGTTTGTATCATTCTATTATTATAATAATTTATTAATGGTATAATTTTCCCAATTGAGTTCGTGGCTCTAGTGTTGTGTTCTCAAACTGCAAATTTCTCAAAATCAATTGGAACCGATGCGGCTCATAAAAGACGGAAAATACTGTAAGTTGAACAGATAATTTTTTTTTCAATAGTCGTTCATTCGGTTTAATTTGATAGTCCCCTTATGAAAAAACATATCACATCACGGTATTCTTGGTTTACTTCCTAAGATTTGGGCAATTAAATTGATGGCATGTTTGTTAGCCTTCTTACACAACATTAAAAACGTTAGACGACGTTAAAAAAATCATCTATTACAGAAGTTGGAAGTAATCAAAAGGGTTTGTATAACTGGTTATGTTGAAACCATTTTTGGCGGTTCCATATTATTCATTCTCTCTATGTGACCTAACCACCGCAGCCGGTTTATTTTAATGGACCTAATAATATCAGGTTTATTATACAGGCGGTAAAGTTCGAAATTATAGCGTCTACGCCATAATCCGCCCTCCTGTACTCCTCCATAGATATGCCGGAGGATTTTACGCTCAAAGCATCTTAAACGTTCTTCATCGTTCTTTGTCATCGTCCATTGTCCAACGCGTAGGTGAGGATGGGCTTGATAAGAGTTCTGTATATCACTAGTTTCGTTCTTTTTGTAACTAGGCATGTTGTTAAAAATTTTCTTAATCAATAATAGGTACTATTTGCCAGATATATCCGTCTGTTAATTTCTGCACTTACTACATTATTCTGAGTAATTTGTGAGCCTAGCTATAAGTCTCTTACTCCTTCGAAAGTATATGTTCCCATCATTAAATCTTCGGGTTGTGCTGCTTGTATATAATTTGATACTTTCATATACTTAGTCTTACTATAGTTAACCTCTAGTCCCATTCTTTTTGTTGCTGCTTCAAGCGACTTGAATGACTTGATCACGTCCACCTTTTCTCTTGCAATAATGTCGATGTCATCGGCGTACGCTAGTAATTGTACGCTGCGATTAATAATAGTTCCTCTGGTTGTTATTCCAGATTCTCTTATCGCTTTCTCTAGTGCAATATTGAATAGAAGGCATGATAGCTGTCTCCTTGTCCAAGTCCTATCTGAGACTGTAACGTTCTGGAAACTCCGTCCTGCACTCTAACTTTACACTCGACTCTTGAGAGGGTCGCTTTCACCAATTTTACTAAGTGTACTGGGATGCTGAATTCTATCATGGCCTTGTACAGTGCGTTTCTTTCAACACTATCATCGTACACCACTTTTGTAAATTTTGAAGCCAGGAAATACGTCTTCTTCCCGGTCCTCTCTTACCATTTACCTTCCCTTGGAGAAGGCCGTAACGTTCTTGGTTTCTCATTAAATGTCCTAGATATTCCCACTTTTTAGTTTTGACGGTCATGAGAATTTCACATTCTTTTCCCCATTCTACGTGATTCACAACAACCCCATTCAACAACATTCTACATGATTACAAAAAATTTGTAGAGATTATTACAAATTAAATTCCCAAAACCGCATTCAAATCCATCTTACATTAAGCAAAAAATCGATATTCTATTATGGTTGGAAATAAAACTAAGAACACTTGAAACAGTATATATTAATCTCAGTATTCGAATGAAATATAATAACATGAAATTTTATAATGCATATTTAAAGTTGAATATACGAGGGAAACTTGTATTATTTTCAAAAATACATGTAATACTTCTTAATACTTATAAAAGACACATAATTGTAAAATACATAACAATTACAGTTAATATTAGAAAAACTGCAATAATAGAGGTAGTAATCCAAAGTCTATCTTCAGAATCTTCAACTACTTTCTCCACTGGTCCTGTGCCGAAAATCTTTCTATTTTTGGTATAAGGAATGAGGCCTATCATTAGCCCTGAGATTACTACCCAAATTGCCGCCTGATAAAAGGCTTGTTGCCAACTGTTAGTAACATCGTATAAATGACCTAAAAATAAAATGTTCATTAACGATTGTTTTGAGAAAAACGCAATATATTTATATTTTAATAGTTTATGGAAAAATAACTTTATGGAAAAAAAATAAGTTTAATTTATTTTCAATATTAAACGAAATATATAGAACGGGGAAAATAAACAACAAAATGAAACCCATTCGCTGCCATACTTCGTTTTTTAGATTTTATAGCGCCTACAGATCAAATTTATGTTCCGAAGTTATAGAAAAATATTCAAAAAATTCTAAAACTTTTCACAATAGCTCTGTATCTAAAATCTTTTAGTTTCAATTTTGGAACATGACCATAAGTATGTAATAAAAAATCAACAACGTCTATTTAAATTTTTTTTTAAAGCAATTAGTGATAAAAAATTGTTAACATTGTGAGGATTTATTTTTTTCATGACAAGATTTGAAATAATAGGATGTACATTAATTTTACAAATACCGCATCTAAAAGTTGTGTTTGTTTGACAATTTTGCATCTGTCTTGTCTTAAGGAAATTGCGTACCTAATGCAGAATTTTTCGAAATAATGTTCATAACTTTGTCTTATAGGGTTTTGGTTGTCAAGGGTTAGGTAGTAGGTATGTTTCTTGTAAACCCTAATAAATCCAACGGACGCATACTTTCGATAAATTCATTAGCATTAGATTGAATTTTATTGTGGTGTTGAATTCTATATAAAATCCATGCGTTAAAAAAACACCATTTATTGTTACGCAGTTTTGGTCTATAGTTAGCGATATTTCCATTCATTGAATCAGTACCTCCCATATGAG